CCCAAGCATTTACCCAAGCATTTACCAGGTTTGAGGGGTGAAGCTGAATCCGTAAGTCGGTGAGGCAGGCATGGGTCATAAACCAAGAAGTCCGAGGGGTTGTGGTGCCGACAAGGAGAGAGACGAGAGGCGTAAAACCAAGACACTGAACCAGGGTCAATACCAGGAGGACAGATGGCTGGACAAATCTATTTGGGGCTGAGGCAAAAATCGAGAGACCGAAGGACAGGCAGAGATTCAGGGACACAAGGCGAGAGCAAGGCATGGGGACAAGAATGCTGGTGAGTAACAGAACTAGGCTGACGACAAACTGGCAGGGAAGTAAGGTTGAGAGCAGGAATATATACTGAGGGGAACAGGTGAGTGGAATGAGCTGATGGCATGAGGGAGGGGGAGTGGTGGATCTGTAATTGGTACTGGCTGTGACAGGAGCAGAGTGGTGATTGAGAACTTGGCATGGGAAATAACTTTGGAAAGCAAAATAACAAAAACAGAGGCAGGACTGGGCAGGCAGGGCAAAAATCATAACACAAAGAGAGACTTTCAAGAATCAAGAAATGCTGATTATKACAGATAAAATGGTGAATGAGATCAGATGCTTCTGGAACAAGAAAGAAGTCAAAGTTCTGAGTTTTTCCTGATAAAGTATCTGACCTCGCAGAGAAGGTTCTGGAAATCASAGCTGAGTATCCAGCTCTGAAGACTCTCATCATTCATACAGGAAGTGATGAAGTTATGAACTGACAGTCAGAAATCCTAAAGAAGGATTTCATTCAGTTGCTGAATGCAGTTAAAAATCTCAACATGGATGTGTTCCTCAGTGGGCCATTTCCTGCAGCAAAAGTAGGCGCTGAGAGGTTAAATAGACTTTTTACTCTTAATGGCTTTTTGGAAAAGTCCTGACCACTGTGACATTTGTGGATTATTTTGATCTCTTTTGGGAGAGAGTCTGATGGAATGACTTTGAATAGAGCTGGAGCAGAGCTGTTAGTTTCAAACATGAAGTATTTCCTGAACCAAGTTCCGGCTGGAAAAAAACAACAGCAGAAATCACAACAGCTGATGCCTGAAGGACAACGGGATCAAACTGAGACACCGATGGAACACAAACAAATGGCTAAAAAGGAGACTGCTGCAGAATCAAAAACACGGAGAGGGGAGTTACTTCAAGCTGCAAAACCGGAAGAACATTTGGATTCATCAATATTGCAACCAGAGAAACCCAAACCATCAACTAAGAAGGAGAAGGTACACACTACACCCAAGAAAAGGAAGTACTGGTATGGATGCGACATTGAGGATGTGGAACAGAGTATTGTTTGGAGTTATGCACAATGCTACAACATTATTCTGCATGGTATAAAGAAAATGGGACAGAAAAGCAGTTTCAAGGGTGGAAAGAGAGAATTATGAGCAAATACACTGATGATGAATATTTCTATGTCTGGGAGGAATAAAAATTGAATTACTGGGGTTGGGATTTTAGAAAAGTACATATACACTCACCGGCCACTTTATTAGGTACACCTGTCCAACTGCTCGTTAACACTTAATTTCTAATCAGCCAATCACATGGCGGCAACTCAGTGCATTTAGGCATGTAGACATGGTCAAGACAATCTCCTGCAGTTCAAACCGAGCATCAGTATTGGGAAGAAAGGTGATTTGAGTGCCTTTGAACGTGGCATGGTTGTTGGTGCCAGAAGGGCTGGTCTGAGTATTTCAGAAACTGCTGATCTACTGGGATTTTCACGCACAACCATCTCTAGGGTTTACAGAGAATGGTCCGAAAAAGAAAAAACATCCAGTGAGCGGCAGTCCTGTGGGCGGAAATGCCTTGTTGATGCCAGAGGTCAGAGGAGAATGGGCAGACTGGTTCGAGCTGATAGAAAGGCAACAGTGACTCAAATAACCACCCGTTACAACCAAGGTAGGCAGAAGAGCATCTCTGAACGCACAGTACGTCGAACTTTGAGGCAGATGGGCTTCAGCAGCAGAAGACCACACCGGGTGCCACTCCTTTCAGCTAAGAACAGGAAACTGAGGCTACAATTTGCACAAGCTCATCGAAATTGGACAAGAGAAGATTGGAAAAACGTTGCCTYGTCTGATGAGTCTCGATTTCTGCTGCGACATTCGGATGGTAGGGTCAGAATTTGGCGTCAACAACATGAAAGCATGGATCCATCCTGCCTTGTATCATCGGTTCAGGCTGGTGGTGGTGGTGTCATGGTGTGGGGAATCTTTTCTTGGCACTCTTTGGGCCCCTTGGTACCAATTGAGCATCGTTGCAACGCCACAGCCTACCTGAGTATTGTTGCTGACCATGTCCATCCCTTTATGACCACAATGTACCCAACARCTGATGGCTACTTTCAGCAGGATAATGCGCCATGTCATAAAGCTGGAATCATCTCAGACTGGTTTCTTGAACATGACAATGAGTTCACTYTACTCAAATGGCCTCCACAGTCACCAGATCTCAATCCAATAGAGCATCTTTGGGATGTGGTGGAACGGGAGATTCGCATCATGTATGTGCAGCCGACAAATCTGCGGCAACTGTGTGATGCCATCATGTCAATATGGACCAAAATCTCTGAGGAATGCTTCCAGCACCTTGTTGAATCTATGCCACGAACCCGTTACTGGCGTGGTGTACCTAATAAAGTGGCCGGTGAGTGTACTTACTGTAGGTTTGTGTTGACATAATTTTTTAATACATTAAAGTTTTTGTTTGTTTGTTTTATTGATCATTTAATAATCAGATGGGGGGAGTGTAATGGAAATAATACTTTTAGGTTTAATCCAGTAATTCATGACATACTTTGTTGACCTAGGTTTTCATGACATGCTGTTCATCAGTGATTATAGCCAGAACAAGATTTGCTAACAACAACCATTCTTAGATCACTAGTGTTTATCTTTGTGTTTTCCCTTGACCCAGCATTTCCTTAGGATGAAATCTTGCTTTATTATGATGTCATAATGGTGTTCGTTCAACAGTATATATGAGGCATCAACTGCCTCAAAAGAAGCAGGAGCAGAGAGCAGTGGGGACAMTCTGATGGCTTTATGRTGTTCTCTGTGTTCCTGTTGTTGCAATAAAACTCAGCTTATCATTCCATGGAGTGCCTTCATTCTTGGACCACGTATTTCTGTCTTTGTTAAATAAATATTTCCATAACACTCACTTTTATTCAATGACATTTAATTAAAATAAGGCCTGTCATTGTAATTTATCTGTTCTTACTATTGTTGGTTGTAATTTTTTATGTATTTTTATCAATTATCGTGATTTTGTGATATTTGTGGATTGCTGTACAGCACTTTGGTGCAGCTATTAGCTGTTTTTAAAAGTGCTTTATAAATAAAGTTGACATTGACAAAATTTGGTGCACCATGCACTGGTTTAGGTCCTACAAAAAAGTATCCTAATACCATATTGTAAAACCTACAGAAAGTCATCCACTTTGAAAAAAAAAAGGCAATTTTCACTTGTTACATCAAATGGTATTTTGTTCTCAATTTGGAGCATTTTGACTTCAAATTTGGGCCAAACCTTGCACAACCTTGTGCACAAAATGTATTGATGGTTGTTGGCTAATCTGATTGGTGTGGGATTTTAGTTTTTTGATTCTGCTCTTTCACATCAAGCATGGCTTTGGGAGTTACATCACAGTAAATTGTCCAAACTGTGCAAAAATTTACATGACATATGCAAAAATATACATCAACATGACCATGCTGATGTCTTAAATTCAACACCGCCAGCTAGTGGCAACGTAAAAATACCCATTAGTGTTTAAAAAAATAAAATCTCACACTCACTTTTTATCCTTCGAGCTTCAAAACTGTTGTGTAAAGTTTAGATCCTTTGAGAAACCGAGAAGATCGTCATGGTCGCAAATAACTGGGCTTTTTGAACTGTTGTATTTGGCTGTGCTTAACAAAACTTGATAGACCGATGACTGCTTTAGCTGGATGTGCACACAATCTGGATTTTATCGAAGCTTGCAGTTTTTTTTAATTGATTTTCCTTTTTAAGGAAGACAGTTTGTGAGATTTCCTTTATGTGTTTACTGCTCATCACAGTTGGTTTGTTATTGTTGTTCAGGAGACCAGAGAGCAGAGAATCACCCAGTACCATGAAGAGCCCGACACTCCAAATGTTCTGGTGAGTCAGAGCGAGGTGGAGCGAGCCAAGCACCGGCTAGTATTAAACGAATATTTCTGGTTTTATGTAGGGTCTGAGGGAGGGCTCCATGCTGCTGGTGGAGGAAAACAAAGCCACACTGTTAGGAACAACCAAGGCCCGACTCTTCTCCAGGTAACGCCAAACCAATCCAGCTGCTCTAATCCATCAGATCTGACCGCTTGTTGGGTTTAAGAATGGAAATATGGTGCATATTTGATCGAGATTCAGTTTTCTCTCTCCACACTGTGAGCATCATCAATGCAGTGACAGTCAGGACTTGGACCTGAAATCCCTTCAGGTCTCTGCTGGGTTTAACTGATCTGCTGCTCATTTCAGGGGGAAGCCCTGCGTGGAGTACGATCCAGGAAGTGACCTCAGCTTTCTGCTGACAGACGCACACTGAGCAACACGAAGATTGTTCAACACAGAGACTGAATGCTTTTCATCACGCTGTTTCCAAACTGAAATAAAGTGTTGAAGAAAACACTGAGCGATGAACTCTTGATACCTTTAAATATATTTATTGTAGTAAATCTGAGCTGTGTTTGTTGAGTTAAATAACATGAAGACAAAGTGAAAGACCGAATGTGAACAAATCAGTTTATTTCATTCCAAAAGTGAAATCATTTCTTTATGAAAATGTTAATATTTACTCCCCAGGTGTAATAATACATACATCAAAAATAGTCCATATTTACTCAGAGTTGTCCATAATTACTCAGAGGAAAAACAAAGTGGTTTAAATATAAAACAAACCCTGAACCAACAAACACACAGAGAAGGGAAACAATAATCTGATCACCTGATGATTTATAAAGTTTGTTCATAAAGAAAAGACCAGTCTCTATATATTAAATCTAAATTATCTAATTCTAAACTATTATTAAAAACTTTTTAGGAACAAATCATGTTTTACTTGTGGATCAAAGATTTATTTTAATTATAAAATCAGCAGGGGGTCAGATAAATTTTCCCTCCATWATCACATCTGCAGGACTTAAATTCAAACAGACAAGAAAAATGTTCAACATGTCTACTGTATTTATGCAGAGAAATCCCCCAAAATAACCCCTAACAGTGCAGTGAAGTCACTGTCACAAAGAAGTGAGTCCATTTTAAACTCAAAACAAGTTTTAGAAAAGACAACATGCAGAAATCTGGTGGTTTCATTTTAACAGAGTTAATGTGGAACATATTGTTTTGTACAGACATTTAGCAACATTTAAATTAAGAGTGAAGACAGCAGTAAACAGTTATTTATATCCTTTAAGAGTCGACATATTGTGAAGTGGTGGTGAGATAACACCCTAAAGTTATAAGGAAAAACAAACCATCTAAAAATATATTCAGTTTACACACATGAGAATGTGTCAAAAACCTTTTCCATCTTTTCTTATCTGTGTAATGACATGATTTCTCCATCAGTAACCAGATTCAGTGTGAAAACAACTAAATATAAACTTCCTGCTCTTCATGATGTCATCAGTAAAACTAGAACGTCTCCACTTCTGATAGTTGAGGACTAAATCTAATGAAGTCCCGTTACTAGTTACTGTTTCTGTTTACATTAATTCATCATGCAAACCCAATATGGGCAAATAGTAAATGTTTCTTTTTCTGTTTCAACATACTGCCATTCACACATGACTCAGACAATTTCCACATAAAAACTAGGTTTTTGTTTTTAGTAAAACTGCCTGTCACCAATCTGACATAGAAAAAAATAATATAAAAAGAAGAAAAGAAAAACATTAATAAAAAGGCAAAACAAATGGCCTCAGTGCTGGAAAATGCAGGAAAGTAATAAATGACCATTAGTTAAGCCCCGCCCACTTATTTACTTTTGCTATGGCTGCTCCAGCTGCTGACAATGGTGAGCTTTTCTGAGGGTCTTTTGTCAATGTGATGAATTAAGGTTTTATGAGGAGTTTGAAATTTTTTACAATTTTAGACTGAAATGTGGAAGAAAAACAGTTCATCCTTAAATTATGTAACGTTTGGGTTCATCGGCTCATCAGACAGCAAACAGCTTCATACTGTGGGGAATGTTTCCAAATCCACAATTTATTGAATCATACATTAAGACAAAGACAGTGGAAGTGATTCCTGATATGATCCTAAACCTGACTGTTCAGGTTTTATTATTATTGGAGTAGAGGATTATGGGATTAAAGTACTAAATAACTACATAATAACTAAACAGACACACCTTATTGACTTCATGTTTCTCATCTAAGTTTACAAAACTACCAGATTACCCTTTTTTTTATTATTTTCTGGTAAAACTTCAGCTTTAACAACAATGCATTATGAATAATTAAAAGTTAGTAACAGTTTGTTTACAGCTCTACACGCATGGTTATTACACACCACCAGTGCTGTGTGGTTTTTGACTCCCTTTTTATTTTCAAATCAATAACTTTATTCTTCTCATTTTGACTTTATGTCAACACATCAACAATAAATGTGATGTTTCAACTTTTAACTACAATGACTTTAATTTCAAAATTGGGCAATTTACTTTTTTATCTTTTGCATGACTAGCATGTTCACAAGCTGCTTCTGTTCTTTCAGTGAAAGAAGTTATTATAAGATTGCTACAGTTTGGACTTTTTACTACAGTTTACATTCCTTTGGCCTGAAATCATTTTCTGTTTGTTCTGTCGATAGTTAACCTTCAGAGGACAGTGTGTCAACAACAACAACAACAATAACAGTCTTTTTCAGGTGTGGGGTTTAACAAATGATCAGATTTATAAGTCACACTTAAGAGTTTATTACCTGCATTAGTTTTTAATGCAAATTAGAAAAATACTTTCTTGACCGAGTTGGTAAAAAACAGTTTCGATTATTAATATCATCTTTGTTTTGTTCAAATACATTAAAACACACAAAGAGCAAACATCTCACCAACACCCCAAAGCAGAACTCCTACATGAGTTTCCACACAGAAAAAAAGAAAAGTTTAGTAACGTGAATAAAAAAAAAACTAGAGTCGTGTTCTGATCTGTTCGCATCCGAACAACTGATCCATGTTTATCCAAAAATAATGGCCAATTTTAAAAATCTGAGTTCATATTGCTGTTTTTTCATCAAACATGATCAGAATCACTCCGGTGGTCAGGCTGGTCATCACTACCCACAATCCTCTGCTTTCACTGCCTCAACTGTTCCACTTTTCTGCTCTTTAATATTCTTTCATTTCACTCGTAAGAGAATTATGTTTAATTCTTACAAAAAATACAGAGAAACCATCCTGATATCAACAGTTTAAAGTAGAAACTCTTGAAATGATTGACTGACTTGACTGAACCAAGTCAAACACTAAATTACATAAACTTACATAAACTTTTACCTTTTTAAATGTTAACCTATCCTGTTGCCATGCTTAGCTAATACTAACCAGCTGCTAATCTTAAAGTAAAATAAACACCAAGTGCTTTCAGTGGGATGGGCACATGATGATCCAGCTGATTTCCCAAAAATACAAACGCTTACTTCAAGTTTTAAATAATAATAATTGTTGTAGAGTTTGTGATTTAATCAATGAACATCTTTTTTTTCAGCTTCTCTTTTGGCACAAACAAGATGAAAAGTTAACTCAGTACCATTATCTCCCACCCAGCAGTGGACTCTCTCTGAGGCTGAGCTTTCTTCTCGGCTCGTTTGGGTCGGGCCTCTAGGCGTCTGTGTTGCCGTTCTCCTCGGGCTGCAGCTGCTCCTTCTCTGTGCAGTCCTCCTGCGGGGGACGCACTCTCTTAAAGAAACCCAGCTGCAGAGGAAGAGGAGAAGAAACGTTGAGAAGATGAATCCAATTAAACTAACAGCCTTTCCCAATCAGTGGCTACACCCTCGCCCTACTCCCTACACACTAAACTCGTTGTGAAGCACCCACACAGCTGAACTGAGTCCCCTTGATGGCGCCGTATAACCCTCCTCTTTTGAGACTAGCTCTCCTCACACCACTGGAACAGGAAGCTGTCGTCACCATGGTAACAGTCCAACCTCTGGCAGCGGCTAAATGCCGGAGAACGAACACAGTGAGATCGTTTAGAAGACGCTTTTTGTCAATAGACGCTCGAAAATATTTAATTTGGCCCACATTTTAGAGAGTTTTCAGATATGACTTTATTTTTAACAAAAGCATTTTTTAAGTAATTTATTTACTTTTCTTTATTTTTTTCATTTCTTCTTTTTTAAATATGGACCAGGGTTCTGTGTCTTTAATAATGTTTGAATTGAACTGAACATGATTTATGTGGAATTATATTTGTTGGTGAGGTGTTTACTTAGTAAATATGTGTACAAAACATATGCGGAACTTATATTTATACGTCCCGTGCTCCATGTCGACCACTATTTGGTGTTGCACATGCTGCTCAAGTCTGCATTGGATGCTGTCTCGCTGTGGAGGGCTTAATATGCCACTCACCCTCGTTCGTAATTGGTTTTGGATGGGACTTAATATAGCCAACCCTCCGCGGGAACACGCAAATGGAGCGTGGAGTGAGTAGGGCGAGGGTGTAGCCACTGATTGGGAAAGGCCCTAAAACTGACAGAGAACACGTCCTCACCTTGTACATGATGAAGATGAGCAGCGCCAGCAGCAGCAGTCCAGCCAGAACAGCCAGAGCCACGACCCAACCAGGTACTGGCTGAGGAGTGTCAGCCACCCACATCACCGTCAAACTCACCTGAACACACAAGTTGTCTTTATTTACAATAATTACAATTTAAATCCAGTAAGTTTCTCTCTGTTCATATTTATATTGTTCATTTAGTATTCAGTGTCCTTGGATTTCACACACACACACAAACATATATATATATATA